TACTTTAAATAGCCCGCAAGTGTCTTCCTCTGGATCGATGCCAAGATCCTTCCTTCTTGGCCTGATGGCTCCCCCGAAGTCTCTCTCCAAAGGCAAAGGCAAAGCTGGTAAAGCAACGCTAGGCCCGACTAAAGATGATGAGATGACGCAGTATCTCGACGGCAGTAAGTTAATCTCTATGTTTATTCTTTCTTGAGAGATGGTTTTTCGGCCGAAAAACCATCCCTATCTTCATGATACTAATTTCTTACAGGTTTAACTATATCTGATGAGCCGCTCTCCTTTTGGAGAGAGAATCAATATCGCTTCCCTGCTATTGCCGCACTTGCAAGAGATTACCTTGCAATTCCAGCCACAGGTGCTGGAGTTGAACGTCTGTTTAACACTGCACGCGATATCTGCCACTATCGCCGGGGCTCTTTGAAGGCGCAAACTATCGAAGAGCTGATGTTGTACCTCTGTACGTCAAGGTTTGATCTTGAAGTGCAAGAGGCGAAGGAATTTGAGCAGTTCTTTGGCTCTGATGAGATTCAGATCCTGGTGGAGGAGGCTCAGGCGGCTCAAAAGCCAGGTGATGATGCCGAGGAGCCAGCTGAGGTGCTAGCTGTCGTCGACGTTGATGCGATCAGTGATGCTGAAGAGCAGGGTGATAGATCCGGTGATCTGATAGATGTTGACGATGACGATGACGATGCTACTATCGCTGCGGCACCGTCTCATGCGGCACCGTCTCAAGTGCGGACATCAGGGAGGAAGAGGAGGCATGTTGAGGATGATTTGTATGAGCATTATTAGCATGTAGATAGTTTTACCTCTTGGGATCTAATCAATCGATCTCATCAGTTGATCTCATCAGTTAATCTCATCAATCTCATAAATCAGTGAATTGCGTCGATTTCCATGAGATCTCAGTCAATTAGGGGCCTCAGGTGGTAATTGTAATACTTAAAATTACTAGGAAGGTCTACATAACTTATGCAAATGCCAAGAATTGGCATGTTTGCAATGTTTGGGGCCCATTTGGGGGCCCATTAAACCATATTGGGCTTCTACCTTAGGCCCATAGCCTACCAGTGGGCCTAATGCCAGGCCCAAAACCCGCCCCATTTATGGGCTGGGGCGGGTTGGGCTATGGGCTTTGTGGGCCGGTGCGGAGGTCTAATCCGGAGGTAGCCCTATTAATGCTAAATGTGAAACCACAGGATATCCGTACGCACTAGTACTGAGGAATCTAATTGACATGATTGATTGAAGAACTTACATGAGATCGCTGTTGAGAGCATCTCATAGCCTTAGGGACAGATATTGGCATGTTACGAGTTGGGTATCCTGAAATGACCCTTTTTGTACCATACAAAAACATATGACGGAGTGTACAGTATAGGTACTGAATCAGGCTGTCGTACGCGAGGGGCTGGAAAGAAAGTAACTTTTCTCAGGGGCCGGTTAGTGGATAGATACCCTTTCAGATAGACACTAAATAAGGGTGCGAAATGTCCCCCCAAATCAGCTGAGCAAAACTAGGGTCAGATTTGCGCCTAACTGTTAAAGCACTGCAAACAGGTCACAGTTAGGTTAGAAGGGTTCCGGATTGTATTTGCCTTATGCTTGGACCTCGAAGGGACGTTCTGATCGGGACGTTCTGACCTCCTCGGTCCGCCTTCGGGAGGATCCGGAAATAATTCTTCGATCCTCGGGGCGGTTGTATAAATCTTCGATCCGCTGAATGCAACTACCCGGAAGTAGGTAAATGCTCCACTACGGCTACGAGGAAGATAGGCAAAGATAACTTTAGCAACAGTCATAGCAGCAGTAGGGTAGCCGTGTCACGGGACGACACCCCCACCCTCGCGACTAGGGGGTGAGGCTCTGGCGCCCCTTATCAGCTGGGTCACGTTGACTAAATACCGCCCCTTGGCCGCCAAACTTTACAGCAGGTTGTGCCGATTTAATCAAAGTTCACTCCTTTGATCCTGTAGCTCTTGCATTAGCCGCTTAATTTGGAAATCGCCGCCGAACCAAAAAGAAATCCGAACAAATCAGGGTATCCTCCGAGACTGACATGCAACACCCTTGAGAGATCAGCGGGCAAGATGTGGAGAAACAGGTAAATAACTGTTTTTCCCCCTCGAAGCTGCGATTCCCCTCACTCTCTAAGAAACTTATATATTTATGATATGTCGTCGTAGCCTTGGCTAGTCTCGCCAGCCGCTTCTGCAAGAATAAATATTGCGCAGCATCCCATTCAGCAGAGAAATCGGTCGAAAATCCTTGAGACCATGCTGCAGCCGATGAGACTCGGCCTTTTGGCGATTCTGTCGCCGCTTTTGGTTGTGACGCATTTACCTAGAGTATCCACATCTCCATTGGAGTTTTCCGAACAAGATCATGGATCCCACGGCCATATCGCTCCTGGGAAGCTGGGAGCTGTTGCTAGCGAGAGCTCGATATGTTCGAAGCATGGAACTGATATTCTGAAGATGGGAGGAAATGCTGCCGATGCTGTGGGTGTATTCGGGGCGAGAGCCAATGTGGACTTGGTGGACTATTGCTGATAAATTGGGCAGTTGGTTGCAACGGAGTTCTGTATCGGCGTTATTGGTGAGTCAGGACAGCCAAATAGCCGTTCGCAGAAAGGCATAGCTAACGGCTGCAGGAATGTACCATAGTGGAATAGGCGGAGGTGGTTTCATCCTCGTGAAGTCGCCAAATGACACCTATGAGTTTATCGATTTCCGAGAGACAGCTCCGGCGGCAGCCTTTGAGGACATGTATAAAAATAATGAGGACGCGTCTATCTATGGCGGACTAGCCAGGTAAGAACACAAATCTGAGCGTGGATATGAGTGACGCTAACAGCTCTATTAGTGGAGTACCAGGTGAAGTCCGAGGCCTCGAGTACCTCCACAAGAAATATGGTTCCCTTCCGTGGTCGACAGTCCTACAACCCGCTATCCGCACTGCACGCGAAGGGTTTCCCGTTACAGAAGACCTGGTCAAATATATGAAGTCCGCCGTCGGCGATGGAGAAGACTTCTTATCCAAAAACCCGACATGGGCAATTGACTTCGCTCCGAATGGAACCAGACTCGGACTCGGTGACACAATCACTCGCCGCCGGTATGCGGATACTCTCGAGGCCATTGCAGAGCGTGGTCCGGATGCATTTTACACAGGATCTATTGCCGAGACTATGATCAATGCGTTGCAGAATGAGAATGGGACAATGACGCTGGATGATTTGAGCAATTATACGGTTGCCATTCGGAATATCTCACAGATTGACTACCGTGGGTATAAGGTTACCAGTACCTCTGCCCCGTCTAGTGGTATTGTCGCTATGAGTATCCTGAAGATTCTGGGGACATATAAGGATTTCTTCGCGACTGAAAAGGATGTTCACTTGAGCACTCATCGGATGGATGAGGCGATGCGATTTGGATATGGAGAGGTAGGCTGTCTTGTTTTCCTCTCTTGACGATTGAATGCCACTAACAAAAAAATGCAGAGATCTAAATTGGGCGATCCCTTGTTTGTTGATGGTATGGCCGAATACGAAATGGAGATGCTTGACCAGTCTACGATCGACGATATTAGGTCAAGAATCTCGGATATTCGAACCCAGAATGTGTCTGCTTATGATCCGGCTGGAATTGAAAGCCTGGATACGTACGTTCCACACTGCGCATACGATGCTCTGACTGTTGACTAACATTACACTTCAGACCTGGAACTTCTCACATCGCCGCCGCAGACCACACCGGCCTCGCAATCTCAGTCATTACAACAATCAACCTCTTGTTCGGCAGTCATGTCATGGTCCCAGAAACTGGTATTATAATGAACGACGAGATGAACGGTAACTCAAAACCCAACGGTTAAGAAAAGGAACTTGGCTAATCCTCTATAGACTTTTCCATCCCCGGCTCATCAAACCAGTTTGGATATATTCCATCTGTCGCAAACTATGTCCGACCCGGGAAACGCCCCCTTTCTTCCATCACACCGGCGATAGTCACTCGCCCTGATGGCAGTCTCTTTTTGGTTGCCGGATCCGCAGGAGGCAGCCGCATCATCACTGCCACCGTGCAGAACATCATCCACTCCATCGATCAAGGCCTCTCGGCTGCACAATCTTTGGCCAAGCCTCGCTTGCATGATCAACTAGTGCCCGACCAGGTCAGCTTCGAGTACGCTTATAATAACGATACGGTGGCCTTTATGGAGGCCCGAGGACACAATATCACTTGGGTTGCTCCCGGCCTGAGCACTGCTCAACTCATCCGTGTCTTGCCTAATGGTACATTTGATGCGGCTGGTGAGCCAAGACAGCTTAACTCGGCTGGATACTCTGTTTAGACGGTTGTCTGCTGCACATGTTGGTTATAGATTGCCACGTATATACCATGTGAAGTGTACATATTCATTGAGAAAATCACGAGACATAGAAACAAAGCGGCCAATATTACCCATCAAGATCCATCAACTTCATATAAAAAATGCAGTGTTGAATGCCTCCAGCTTTAATTTATAGATTTGTTGGTGGGTGGCCTGTGCTCTCTGTAGCTTCCCTTTTCTTTTGCGATAGATCTACAATTTCTCATCATTCCCTTTTCTCTCCTTTTCTAATTTTGTTGAATGCTTCGCGTGCTGCTTCTGGTCTGTATCTGTCCACCGTTCATCTTAGTATCAATCTGTTTTCCGGCAGCTCACATCGCGTCCCTACCTAAAATTAATCTCCGCGTCTCCGCATTTGACAAACAGCTTCCGACATTTCAAAGTAAAAAAAAAAGAAGAAAAGGATAATCCGCGCATTTGATGTCAAGTGCCTTGCAGGTTACTGAAACTCTTCTCCTGCCCCTCAAAACTTCCATTGACCGGTTTGATTGCACATTTCCAGCAAATCAACCGCTACCACAGCGACATATCTCCAAACCTCGACAGCTTCCCATCTTAGACAAATATCTCGAATCTGGGCTCGCCATTCTGCTTATCCCAGAATGGGGAGGTCGAGCAATATTTCTGTCGTTGTTCTCTCTCCCTCGCCTCATATCACCCCCTTCAAGTCCTTTAACAACGACCTCTTCGACCGAACCATTGACACCATCCCCTCCGAAGAAGCAAGCCTCCAAGGTTCCCATGCGGAAGGCCAAGCTATGGATGCTTCCACTACGCCTAGTTTATTTGGGAATGGCAGCTTGCACGACTCGCTGGCTCTTTCTCCTCGCCGTGCACGAAGCACCGAAACTAAGTCTTCGTGTTTCCCTACTCGCTAACTAACACCTGTCATTGCCACTACCTCCATCTCCGAGGTTACAAAGCTGAATTTAAAGGACTCCCCGAAAATCAAGAGCACACTGGCAACGATGGACTTGGGTAAAGACGCCAAGAAAGAATCTCAGAAAGAATCTCAGAAAGAATCTCAGAAAGAATCTCAGAAAGAATCTCAGAAAGAATCTCAGAAAGAATCTCAGAAAGAGTCCAAGAAAGAGTCCAAGAAAGAGTCCAAGAAAGAGTCCAAGAAAGAGTCCAAGAAAGAGTCCAAGAAAGAGTCCAAGAAAGAGTCCAAGAAAGAGTCCAAGAAAGTCACTCGCAAAGATTCCATCAAAATTCCCAACGAAGACGCTGCAGATGACATGGGCCTAGACAAAACCATACAGGGACCCGAACAAGCCCTCGATCAGACTCTAGCTGGAGAAACTGAGGAGTCGCCCGAAGAGAAGATCTTCGCCTTGGTGAGTCCAGACAAGCAGATGTCGGTGCTTCAACTCATTTCTTCCCACGCTTTTTTTATGACTACGGAGATTCAGCCTATCTTACGTTCAGCCTGGCGCCAATTCACCGACCAGGTACGAAATGTGGCTTTCGCAGCCACAATGAACAATGGATCTGTTCATGCCTTGCTGGAGTTCGTGCGAAAGACTTATCTTGACGAGCGTAATATTTTGGCGGCAGATGATGCTGGTTCTGCCTTTGGTGATGAAATCGATGATGAAGAGAAACAACCTCCGAAACCTTCACACAAGAAGCGAACAAGCCTCAGCCGTGATCAGACCGTGAGAGCAACGGCACTCTTGAAATATTTGAGCAAAAGGATGATATTCTGGATCCGAAGAAACACAACAGGCGTCACTCCTCAGAACGTGCAACGCGCCATGGTCATAGTAAGGCCACGAGCATCTTGGATCTCTCTGGTGCCAAGGTGACGCTGGGTTCACTGGGCCAAAGAAACGCAAGAGGCGCCACTCTGAAAGCGCAGCACAGCATGCTCACGATGAGGCTGAGAGAGTATTATAAGAGAGGTGAGGTATAATAGAGAGGTAAGGTGTAATAGGTAGTTTATTATAGGTAAGATCGGGGGGTGTAGCATTATAAGGTGGGGTAGTATAGCCGAAGAGAGGTGAGGTTAAATAGATATGGGATCAAGAAGGTCCGACACTCGGAGACCGCCAGGACTACTCCTGACGCTGCGATGGCGATGGACTACATGGAGATTTCTAGCACTGAAGAAGTTCCTAAAGGAAAGGAGCTGAAGATGCACAAGAAGCGAGACTCTGTCAGTGCACGACAGCATAGCCATGATAAGGGCATAGTCAAATCCGACGGGAGCGGTGCGGTACCTTCTCATGGCATTTCCCCAGGTGCATTCAAGCATTCTGTTCCCATACCTCCTCCTTCTGTACCTGCCAAATCGAAGAAATCGAACAAAGAGAAAAACAGAAAGCAGCGCGTTCGCAGAAAACAGCATAGGCTTGAAAACCGCCTCCGTTTGAGTGGACACCAACCGGATATCTCCGCTGAATACCCAGTCCAGCAAATGACTTCGCCCACCCAGCCAGTTGGCCAATGCAATACTAAATTTGGATATAGTCTGGGCCAGCTCGTACTGACGAGGAAGAAAGCGGCTCTTTTACGGCAAAGATCCGCGAGTTGGAATGCGCCAATCATCGAATGAAGAACGAGCTCGGCCGCTCCAGCATCCATCTCCAGGAGTCCCTCGACGAGAATCGCACATTACACGCAAAAATTCGTCGGCTTCAGGACGAGTTGGATAGTAGCTCATCTCGAGCAACTCACCTAGAAGACGAGTTGGTCCGTGCCACAAATGGGATCACCGAAGCTATGCAGGTTTTACAGGATCATCAAACCCAGGAGCGGAGCAGGCCAAATTTGCATGGATGCAGACAAGGTGAATCTGGTGATAGCACAGCAGATTTTCAGTTACCGGCTCAGTAAATTTATGCAGAGATTTCCGCAATGCCAATTTTTTCTATCAGACGGTTTCACCGTTTTCTTTTTCTTGAAATGTTGTCCGGGGCGCGGGCAAGACCCGACTGTTTTAGCCCACTCGTTCGGTGAAAATGTGGTCTTTGCATCCGTCGAACTAACTCTAGGGGGAACCAAGACCATGTACCATGTGTTGTAGTTCAAAGGTAGATCAATTCATCTATTATTCGGTGGGAAACTTGAGACTATATATACAACGAGAAGAACAAGTTGATTGGAAATCAACTTGGTTCTTGGTAAACATATCTCGGGATTAATTCCGATGGTTCGGCTTGCTTCCTGATCTGCACCAGCCTCATATCACAACAGTTTTGACGAGAGAAGCTCCAAAACCTGAGGTCCGGCATAGACCAGGTTCAACAATTCCCTGAATGTGGGTTCTTCCGTGAGCCCAAATGGAAGATTTGCGGATGTAATTGTCCGCAGAAGCTGTTCTTTGAGCTGCGCCTTGGTGAATCTGCTCCTCTCGGGGGGAAAGTCCGCACGGGCCTCCTGGATTGCGCCTGGGGTGACCTTCTGCTTGCTTCTCCGACAAGAGTTGGATTTCAGGTGCTTACCCATTGCGCTCGTTTCATGAGATTTGTGATGTGGGTGATGTGGGTGATTCGGCGGCGTGAGGCAAGACCGACACACTACCTTGGGTCGACCAGACCTGAGTGTCAAGGATATAGATGAAGCATGCGGAACGGATGGAGATATGATCCGCACGGGACCCACATGGTGTACGTGGGTTCCCCCGAACGCGAGGAAGCTACAGTGGTGTAACATTAGTATTTGACCTCAAGTACTTCGGGACCGTGACCGCTTTTTAGACCGCCTACTTTACTAGTACGTCAACACTCGCGTTTTCGACGCGCCAGTATCTACGCTATAATTTTTACGCGTTTCTCACTCTGTCTCTCTATAATAATGCCTCCAATACGCGGAAAAAGAGGTCCAGAGCTTGACTGCCTTACCCGGGCTAAGATCTGCGAATTACATGCTACAAATGGCTGGGGTGCTACGACTATTAAGAAGCAGCGCTTTCCCGACATTCCACGCTCAACTATTCAATACACCCTTACCCAAGAGGTAAAGCGTCAAAAACAGCAAAGTCTTCCACGCTCAGGCCAACCGAGGAAGCTTACTGAAGAGGATCGTGACTATATCTACGATACTATACAAGAAAAGCCTTCAATTTTGATCAAGGATCTACTCGGAGAGGTTGATTTTAAGGTCCACCGTATGTCAATTTGGCGTCTAACCCACGAAATGGGCCTTCGAAAATGGAGAAAAATGCAGCGGCCGACCTTAACGCCTACACACGCTAAGAAACGTCTACGCTGGGCCCTTCAATATCAGCATTTTACGTCGGAGGATTGGGCCCGCGTCTATTGGTCTGACGAATGTACGGTTGAACGTGGTATTGGCCAGCGTCAAGAATGGACTTTTACGCGTCCGAAGGATCAGCTATTTCAGCATTCGAAAGAGGGCCATCAGGTTCAAATGGTTCCAGCGCGAGGGAAGCAAATTAAGCAGATGTTTTGGGCTGCTTTTTCCGGTCTTCCGCGTCGATCAGGCCTTATTCCACTATTCGGAGATCCCTTATCTCGGAGAGGTGGCGTTTCTTCGCGTACGATCGAAGAGCTTTATCGGCGCGTCTTACCTACGCTACTTAATAGCATTGATTCTAATGCTATTTTTCAGCAAGATAACGCGCCTGTTCACACGGCATATATCGTACGGGATGCTTTAAGTGAGCTTCAATGCGATATCATGGAATGGCCACCTTACTCGCCTGATTTAAACCCAATTGAGAACCTCTGGGCGCTACTCAAAGCCGAAATTCTTAAGCGTCATCCTGAGCTTATGCAGCTTCCTAATAACGTATCTACGCTAGAATTGCTACTAGAAGCTGCGCAGGAAGCATGGGAAAGTTTAGATATTGATCTATTTAAGCATCTATCGGAGACAATGCCTCACAGGGTAGCTGATGTCATTAAGTATAATGGGTGGCATACTAGCTATTAAATTGAATTCAATTTTGGAGGTTTCTGCTGGCAGTATTAAAAAAGTGGGTCCTGGCCCGAAGTACTCGAGGTCAAATACTAATGTTACACCACTGTACCTTTCTTTTGCTTCCTCGCGCTACGTCTTGTATCTAGAGTCAACTATAGTTGTTCTTAATATTGATTGTTAATCTTGAGACACTATCCACCTCTATGTATACGTGAGACCCTCACAAGCTACATCGGGTTTCCTGGGGGCTACGTGGGTCCTAGAAGCTGCTTCTTCGCTCCCAGAAACGTTTCAGAGGCTTCCGGGAGCAAGCGAACTCCCAGGACCAAGATGTTTGTTCCTGGCACTGATAGGGCCGTCTGTGAGGGTCCCACGTATCCGTAGATGAGGACAGCGTATTCAGATCAGTAATCAATATTAAATAAAGCTATAGTCGACTCTAGACACAAGACGCTTTCTTTTGCTTCCTCGCGTTCAGGGGAACCCATGTACACTATGTGGGTCCCGTGCAGATCATATCTCCATTTGTTCCGTATGCTTCATGTATATCCGACAAGATACGTCGGGTTTCCTGGGGCCGATTTGACTTCTAGAAGCCGCTTCTTTGCTCCCAGAAATGTTTCAGGAGCCCCTGGGAGTTATCTTACTCCCAGGGTCAAGAGATGAGCTCCCAGCACTGATCGAATCGTCAACAGGAGCGTGAGAAGTTTCTTTATAGTAACAGTGGATAGTCTTACGAGCCGCGAATAAAACCCGCGTAGTTGACTCTACGTTCACACTGGCCTACGGTTTCTAAATATTACGTATCGATGGCTTCAAATGGCGTTGACTCTGAATATTCGACGTTGAGTATCAGATATGCAACACAGATCCATCGCCGAGCGGAATTCAATAACTCATAGGATATTCATCCTACAGGATTTCATCAATCAATCATAGATAGTTCATAGCGATTTCCAGACCTCCAGAGCTTCCGGAAATCACGAAGCATAATTTGGATCACCCTGTAGGAATAGTTGGAGTGGATGTGAACGTTCCTCGATCAATCTATCCAGTTCATGGGCCATGGCAAGGCTTGTTTGCTTGCAACACCACCATCCTCATTTCTTGGTTTGAGTAGGGGAAAACGGCTTTTCCGAGAGAGGTATGTAAACTGTAAATAATCATGTACCTAGTAACAGATGTGGGCCTCACCGTCGCACTCTATCTCTTGTGGACAAGTCTCTAGCGTTGCATATCTCTAAGGAGACAACAGTAAGCCGGGAAACTGTCCCATATTGTTTGAATTTGCTACAGTACGTTAAGTTACTTAGTTCCTCATCTTAAATGTTGAGGGCGGGGAATGGACCGACCGATTGCATATCAACGTCTATAAATTTTCCACCTTGAGTTTATATAATGAATCCACTCCCAGCGGAAAAAAACAGAAGACCACGCTAGAATTGGCTGCCTTCACATCATTTTATAATAATGCATTGCAAAAATCTCTCACCTCGGGCTAGACATGGTTTGTACGTCCCTGTGGAACGCCTTGCTAACAGCAATCATATTAGAAGCGTGCGGAGGTCTATTGCTTGGCCTTTGAATCACAATTCTTTTTGAAAAGGTGGAGAGAAGATTATCGTATGACGAAGGCGATGATGATGTCCCGCGTTCAGATGTCGTCTCACGCCTTTGATCTTAAGATCGCGCATTACAAAGATGTTTCGTGCCAGGCTAAATGCTTCCGACGCCAAGTTAAGAAGGGGCTTTTAACGGCCAAAGAGATGGAAGAGAAAAGGCAAACTGTTTACAGTCTCTATGCTGATGCTATGAATGACCTCGAGAGATGGACCGGTACAGTAACGGTTCTAAACTGTTACTAACGCAACATTGGGAAACTAACTTTTTGCAAAGTACCGGTTCCCACTATATTGGACATGAGCACTTGAGCATAGACTACAGTGAACGATGGAGCTGCCATACAGTATTTTGAAAAGACCTACAAACGGCAGCGCGGTATGATCAAACAGCAAAGAAAAGAGAATCATCAAGCATCCCGTGCCATTCGCTTCCTACTCCAACAAGTATGCTGATTTGATAAAAACACGTTTTGCTTCTGTCTATTTACACTCTCCTGTTCTTCGGAAATAGAGTAATCAACACGTAAGCGGTGGAGGATCAACTAAATGTAGAGCACTAACCCCCCCCCCCAAGCAATGAAGGATTTCGGTTGAGTGATCACCATGCGTTTTAACCAGCTTATCTCCGTTTGCTTATAATCTACAGATTGTGGGTAATTCGAATCAGAGGATTGATGATAAGACTGGCCTATGTTGGTTTGTCGACACATCTTGACAGCTAGAGCAACCGCGACACGATTTCGATGTGCAGTGTTCTCCAGACTGATACGTACAGTACCAATTATCTGTTAGGTGAGGCCACAGTGGGACTTTTCCGGAGAGGTAAAGACAGGCAATGTGTTCTCTGCAGTGCTGATGGAAACGGTACACGATAATGGTGAGGAATACAAGATTCTAGAAAGTGTGACAGCGGTTTACTTTTATGATGCTCCTCATAAAAATAGTGTCAGCACCAAACACGGAAAACCACTAAATTGAGCGGACCCAAAAGATTCTTCAAGACCCGAGTAGCTATTAATGACCTGAAATATATGATATATGGGGTGCTTTTCAACTCCGGGAGGCGTCGTGAACTCCAGTGACTAATCGTTGAGCCGTCCACTATTGAGCGTTTACTCACCAGTATACTAATCCGCTTTGAAAACATAGTGAGTCTGGTATTCAAGCTCGCAGGATCAAACCCAGGTCTTAAATCCTGATGTGTAGGCTCTTTTTCCATTCTATCAAGCAAGGCAACAGAAATTTTTATTTTTGTTTCAGAAAGGTAAGCTGAGCCTTGTTAAGACAAGTTCTTGTGTAATGAGAGAGTGGAAGCAGAAAAGAAGTGGT